TTTCAATTCACTTGCGGCGGCTGCAGATCCCGACAGTGCCGCGGCCGCTTTACAGTCAGCCACAGGCGAATCCAATGTCGTTTGCGGTAAATTGAAAATGTTTGCGAAATTTTTCGATTTTCGTCTAATTTAATTTTATTTAAGCTTTTTTTCGGTCAAATGTTTGCTGCTGTTGCCAACTATGCCACGAGCCGGCTCTGACATACATTTTGCCAAAAAGTTGCAAAGTTGCAAATGTGGCAAGTGCGGCAAATGTGGCAATGTAGCAAATTGTCAGCGTAACATTTCGATTTCATTTGCATTGGAACGAAAACTTTTCCAAGCAGACGAAAACTTTACAAGCTGCCAAGATGAGACCTCAATTAGATCATGTTAAAAGACATACCACACACTCGCACACTCGCACACAAACACACACACACTCACACACAGCAGAGACAACACACAACTGTACCCGGCGAATTGGCCCAGTTTCACTTTTGCACAAACAAAATGGCGGCCAGTGCAACTGTTGTCGTGGCTGTACTTTTTCGCCAGTGTATGCGGGCGCACTGCCAATGCAACTGTGTCACAGTTTTGTAGGTTATGCACCCACACACACGCATGCACACAGATATCCAAAGACACACACACACACGCACACACTCACTGCCACTGCACACTGTTGCAGCCTCTAGTTGCGCCGGCCGGCCGGCAAACGAATGTTAAGCAATGAAATGCATTTCCCTCATACTGACACGCTCGCACTCAAACATGCACTCGACACGGCTCTCTTTCTCTCTCTCTCTCTCTCTCTCTCTCTCTCTCTCTCTCTCTCTCTCTCTCTGTCGCCCTCTCTTGCACTATCTGGCTCTTGTTCTTGCTATCTCTCTCGTGTTCTCTCTGTCTGTCTCTCCCGTTGCCGTACTCCCTACCAGCCTGTCGCTGACGTCGCCATCTTTGCGGCCATGCGCAAAAGCACACTTCCGTTCAACTCGCCGCACTTTTCACACGCCGCAGCGAGGGACGTTGCGGCGTAAGGGAAATTACGGCACGTGTTTGCACACAGATGCAAAAATGTGTGCAATTTGTCGCTGCCAACTTTGACGCCAGCGTCGCTGACGTCGTCAAGGGAAAATTTCAACGTTTTATTTTATTTTTTGCGGCGCTTTTTACATGCATTGTTGGAGAATAACTTAAAATACTAAGAAAGAGTTCGTAAGGGGCTTAATTCAGAACATGAAAAGTAAAATTAATATTAATTCATTTAAAAGCAATTTAATTTATCTCAGTCTTGATCAACCATTAAATTATATGACAAATTCTGACTGAAAGTCCGTTTAACCGAATGACAAATTCATAAAAAGCGCTTTTAAGATTCTATTCCACTCATTTTATTCGTATTTATTATGTTTTGAATAAACACTCCCTTGTTGATAAATCAATGCTAATAGCGACACATGTATTTCTAGCACATGCTTAAATAGCCATATCTTTGGCAAAACATTTCCGAAAACATTGCTCATAAATTCAACGATCTACGAATGCAACCAATTTTTTAATTTTTTTTTTTAATTGTTGACGTGTGTATTTATGTGTGTGTGTGTGTGTGTGTGTGCGTGTGCTTGTTTAGGTATTTGCCGCGTAATTGTGAACAGAGTGAACAATTTGCAATGCGTCGCCGAGGCGAAACTTGGAAATGTTTTGCGCTCGATTCACTTTTCATGGCTAATTAATTTTCGTATTGCGCAAAATTAATTAATACTAATGCTAATGCGAATGCCATGAATATGCAAAGCAAACATTTAATTGCACATACATATGTGTGCATGTATATGCGTGTGTGTATTGTGTGTATGTGTGTATGCATGTGTATGTATGTATTATTTATAAGTAGCTTTATGCACATCAAAATTTATTGTTGGCGTCGGCGCAACTCGCCATAATTAAAAGCCAAACAAGCTGCGTCGACGGGCAACGCCAGCAGCAGCAGTAGCAGTAGCAGAGGAGCAGTAGCAGTAGAAGCAGCAGCAGCAGCGACCAGGTGATTTCATTAGCAACTTTTGCTTTTGTCTTTCGGAAGCGGCAGAGGCAGCGTCTGCGGCTTTGGCTTCGACTTGACTGTTAATTATAAGCTACGATATTTTATTTCAAATTGAGGCAGAAATTAAGCTTAGCGCTCGCGCATGGGTCGTATGCGCGATATGATGGTCGATAAGCAACAGCGCTCCGCTTTAAAACAATGAAATAGATATTCGTATCGCGCAAACACCAGACACATACGCGCGCACACACAGACAAATGCCACTTACATCAGTCAATGCAATTGGGTTTGGCAAACAAATAGTTTGTTTTTGTTTTGCAATGATTATTCAAGCAGTCGGGCAAATTGCAGCCGCAGATAAACAAATGAAGTGGCCAGAAATGAACGGGCGACACGTGTCATGGAAAACTTTTGTCTCTAAATGCGCAACAAGCGCAGCGTGGGCCGCGGCAGCAACTGCGACCGCGACTGCATCTGCGAGACGTCGTTGTTGTCGTTGTCGTTGACATTTGCATTTTGTGGGCATGCCAGGCAGCGGGGTCTAGTTGGGTGGTGTAGTGTGTGGGCGGTGCGGCTTAATTAAAGCGCAACACAAGCGCATCGGCACGCCTCAGAGCGCAATGTCTAATGGTGCCATCTATAGAGCGAGGGCATTACTTGAAATGCCTGGCATGCTGCCGCGGCCGCTGGCTCCTCTTGTCTTCGCTGTTTGCTGGGGCAGCCCAACAAATGTTGACAAATGTGTGACAGCCGCTGAAGCGATACCGACGTCGCTGACGTCGCTGTGGGCGGGAAGACGCAAAAATGCATTAAATATTTAAATGCCGTCAAAGTCAAGGTACCAAGCTCAGTGAGGGCGAGCTTGATACTGTGGTTTCGCTGAATGCAGCACAAAGATCGCAAATGCAGAGCAGGTGCTGCCATCAGTTGTCCAACTTGGTCACAAACTACTTGAGCCAATAATATATTAATGAACATTTGCAGCAGGTGCAAGTTCTATGTAATCATTAAATATGGATGAACTGCTCTACTATTTTGCGATTTGAAATGCGATACGGACATTCATTTAGAAATTTGAAAATGAATATAAAAGCACTTAGCAGGGAAAGAATCTTTGTGTAATACGATATCTAACAAAATGTGAAAGTGTAGTTTGATTAAAGAACTTGATTAAAAGATATAATGTTTCATCTAAAATATCTCTTTGTTGTTTCTATAGTAATTTTATTATTCTAACAGATTCAATTATGTGCACTAATTAAATGCTATTTCAATAAACAATTCGCTTCAAACATATCATATGGCTTAATTTGTTTAAATATTTTGCTGCTTTATTCGCTCATTCACAGAAAATGTGAATTTTCAAATTAATTATGTATTGTTTAGTGGCTGGCAAAGTATTCAAACGCTTTTGTCTGCGCCTTTGCCAGAAGCCAAAACTAATTAATTTTCCACCTAAGCAAAAACATGACAAGAAAATACAGCATTTCGGCCAGGGGAAGCTGAGGAAATTATGAAATGTCAGCAGCCATGTCAAAGCAACAACCACAGCAACAACTAGTTAGTAAACAACAAAAAAAAAAAGAAAAAAAAAGAAAAATGACAACAATAATGAGTGCTGCACATGACGTCAGCAGCAACAAATTAAAATAAATGTTATATATACTTAAGTGGGCGCTCTTGCCAAGGGTTTGGCCGGAACAAAGTTTTGCATAAAACAAAGCGAATGATTAAAATCGCGGCCAAAGCAACAGCAGCGAAGAAGAAGATACACACACACAAACAAACACACACTTCACACACAAACACACACACAGTGAGACTCGTGTACATTAGTTGGCAGTGCATAGAGAAAATTTTTGCAGATGTATTCAAGGTCAGGCAGCAAAGTCAGCGCTGGCGTCGCAGTTGCCGCTGGCGTTGCCGCTGCCGCTGTCATTGCCGCCGACGCCGCCGTTGCCGTCGCCCACACACACGTCACCGCCGTCACCGCTTCGGCAGCAAAAATCAATATGGCAACACTTTTAAGGGTTGCGGCGAATTCGCCCAAGCTAAATGGCAAACCTTTCCCTTTGCAACGACGTCAGCCGCTTAGTGGTTCAGTGGGTCGCATGCAACATCTACAGCCACAACAACAACAACAACAACAACAAATGCAACTGTTGTTCGGTTTTCCCGCGCAATTTTCGCTCTCTGCGGCGCACTGCGCATGCCTGAACTATCAAGAGCTAATCTTTGCAACGTATAGGGCTAACCGCCCCTTTCTCGTGCCCCCTGGCAGTCATAACATTACGCGTTTTTTAATGGAGCCTGGATTTAATTATAGCTGCCAGCTCAGCACTGAATTTGTGGTTTGGGTTCGAGTTCGGCTTCTGGTTTCTGTAAGGTTTCTGCTGCTGCTGCGTTCGCCTCTCAATTAAGTCCAGCCAATTACACACACATGCACAAACTGACACACACACACACACACACACACACACTTAACGTCAGTGGCAAAAGGCACAACTGCACATTTCGGTGGGCGTTTTTTGAAAAAGTAATCGATAATACTTCAAGGTTAGCTTCCCAGTTGGCAGTTGCTAGTTGCCGTGCTTTGATATTTTCTTTAACAACTGAAACTGATTGCAGCTTGGGGGTTCATCGAAAAAAGCCAAAATTGGCAGCTGTCAATTCGAAGCGAAATTCGCAAAAGTTCGTTTAGCAGTTGGTAACTAAAACTTTGACACGAAAGTTATTAAGAGCAGTTCACGCAGGAATTCCGGAGCATTTACTTGGACAGCAATTTGCAGTTAATAGGGTTGTCAAGTGCGTGCAATGCGGCGTATGCGCAATATTTCATTGCGTATGCAGTTTTTTTTTTGTCTTTTATTTTATTGGTTTCGCCCATGAATAATTAATATATTAATTGCTTGCTATTAATTCGCTTATTAAATTGTCATTTAATTTTAAATATACTTTGCATGTTTTATCTTTACAGGTGAGTAACTTGACACATTGCGTTTAATTGGCTGCTCTGAACTGGCTTTTGGTCTGTGAGTATTGCGATTATTTTGTATATAACGCAGTTTCATGAGATTTATCACTCTTGCTATTCAGTGTACAAGTATTTCCGTGTGGGCTTGAACACCTTGACAGGTACAAGCCAATGCTTAACATGTACGCAAGTACTCTTATTTAAATGTAAATGGCTCAGAATCAATGCAGCTGAGCTTGAAAGTGAATTTATTTGTACGAGTGTCCGTAGTTGTTGTTGATTGTTTAGAAAGGTTGTTTCGTAGCAACCGAAATCTGAATTCTTTTTGAAAGCTCAAAAGTTTGTTGCAAAACATGAAGAAAAAAATAAACAAATATGAAAAAAGATACCATTATTTCAGCGGCAAACATTTTCATGACACTTAAATTTGTCTAGACGGCAATTATTTGCATTCATTTGTTGCCTGTCTTTATTTCTATCACTTTTCGCTTGGTTGCTTTGGTGACCAGAACATGTTTCATTTAAGGGGCTGATGCTCTTAACGAAATTCAAAGCTCACTTAGATACAATTTATAAATATATATTCGTGTCATTAGATTCACATCAACATTTGATGCATAAATGCGAAAGATTAGTCCACCAAAGGATTACCAAATTGTAAGCCCAAAAACAAACACATTGCAGAGTATTTCGTTGTCGCAATACGTTCGAATATAAATCCTTATTTATTCTGCTGGCTATGCTGCATTTTATTTAATTCATAAATTACAATTTCAAAAGCGTACAATCTGGTAAAATACAGTGCTGTTGCATAAATCAATTTGAAAAATATTGCAAGTTACAAAACAGAACAGAAAATGAAAAAGGAAAAAAATTGATGACGCGCTGTTCCGATTCCGGTTTACCGTACCGCGCCGTATTCGAATGTATTTTTGTGCCGGACTTTTACGCATTGACAGAAGCTTTTGGGCCAATTAATTGCAAGCATAAATCACATTTTTCTAGTTGGTAACATTTTGTTGCCAGCAAAGCAAAAAAATATATATTTGTCGAATTTTATTGCATGGTCAACAAAGTGAAAACAACGTGATATCATAGATTCTAGTTGCCAAATTTTAGCCTATTAAATTGCAATTCTTGTTTCCATTTTAATATAACTTAATTTATTGCTGTACTAGTTCTTATCAATGTGCGTCACGAAATTATTGCATTTTTCAAACCGCAATAAAACAAACAGCAATACGTAGCCCGTTATAAACAAAATGAAGAGAGAGTTCCTGGAATGGCAAGTCAAATATGAGGGGCCAAGTAATTAGTCATGAGACATTGTCCGGCAATTTGTTAACCTGTTGACCCCCAGCGCCTGTAGATCCACCCACAGCCGACAATTTGCAAAAGACGCGCATCTTGTTTATTATTTTGCTTGCATTTTGTTTGTTATTTTCCTGACATTTTCATTATTTTGATTCAGTTGCCTTCTCGCTAATAAGTCAGAGATACCCGCGAGCAGCACAGATACAGATACATTCACACTACCGATACAGATACATACATATGTGTTTATAGGCGCACACACCTACAGCAAAAACCGCTGGCCACTTGGCCTTGGAATAGGTTGATTGCATTCTAGCGGTCAATGCCGTCGCCCGCGTCGACGTCGCTGCTGGCGAAGGTGGCGGCAGCGGCGGCGACGGCGACTAACAACAACGAAAATTGAAAACGATCGCCGCAATTTCTCTCTCGCACCTTGGCTGTTATCCCGCTCTCAATCTGCTCTCTCACTCTCTCTCTCTCTCTCTCTCTCTCTCTCTCTCTCTCTCTCTCTCACGCAAGCTCTACCTGTCTCACTCGGTCTTAAGATCCCGTTGCGCTGCAAAGACTGTCGAATTCGTATATCCGCACGTACTTGTATTTAGTATATTAGTATACGTATTTGTATCTGTATCTGCTGATGTATCTGCATCTGTATGTGTTTATTGTATTTTATTTATTGTTTGTTTTTGCAATGACAAAATCAAAAAGCCAACAAACAACTTACTGTTGTTGTGGTTCTTGTTGCTGTTGTTGTTGTTGTCGCTGATACTCATACATTTTAAAAGCAACAGCAGCAGCAACTATTTATAAAATGCGCTTTCTGCTACCGCGCCAAATGTATCTCTGTATATGTATCTGTAACTGTAGCTGTATGTGTTTACGTATCTGTACATTGCCCGTGCGCAACTTGCAATGCCGGAAAGCAATAATAACAACAACAACAACAACAACAACAACAACAGCAACAAAACGTCGTATAACTTGTGACGCTGGCTGACAATGACGACAATTCGTGCCCTATACGAAGTATCTTTTGGATACTTGCAAATTTCATACCTGAAATTTGAATCGCATTTGCATAGCAAGTGTCCGTCGCAACGCTCTACACTAGTATAATACAGACCCAACCCGACCAGACCAGTCCAGTCCAGCCACAGATCTGTCCACAGGCCCCCCCGTGAATATCTTGAACGAAATCCTTTCGGATTGCGCCTCAGCATTATGCGGCGCCCACACATAAATAATTCAAATATATACATATATATATATATATTTGTTATATATATATATATATATATATATGATATATAATATACCTTTTTTTGTTTGTGCCGTTTTAGAACTTTTAGTATAACCAGGGCGGAGTGCATTCAACCGTTCCGAACGGTTTATTCGGTTCATTCGCTTTTTTAGCGTTCATTCGCTTTTGGCAAATATTTGCATTTTGAAATAACTACGCGCAAGTATTATTAACTGTAATTTTCAAGTGCCGCCGTTCATGGCATACAAATTGTTTTGTTTATTTAAATACTTTATTATAGAATCTTGTGTATTATTTTAGCCTTCTCGCTTTATAACCGCCAATGTCATTTATTTTGCGCTGCCTTTTTTATGCTCCGGCTGCATTCGCTCATTTTATTTATTTAGCTCTATGCATTGTTTATATTTCCTGTTTTCCCATTGTTGTTGTTTCTCTACCCATCCACCGAGCTGCTAAACGAGCGTCATCAGCATATTTTGAGAATCGTTTAACATATAAGCATCTAATGGATTAGCAATCCAGCTTGATAACTTGCCATTGAAACCACTTAGCCAAAGCGTTTATATGTTTTATTCCCAAATATGACTCAGCTTTAGTAAATTGTTAGCTTTGATAAAGCGTGTCTCAAGATCACGTCATCAGCAACCGCTCTCAACAGCTTAGAATTCCCTCACAGACGCTCTACCTTAGGAACTCTGGCACTCCTGAATAGATCGGATTTCGTGTGTCACATGATACCGATTGTTGTTTTGCCTAGGCTGCAATTTATAGAAATCGCTTTGATTTATAACACTGCGTATGCAGCTGGCTTGTCATATCTTTTGACCGATAAACTTATTTATTTTTGGGGGAAACTGGTTGCCGACTGCGTTGCGGGCTCTAACCTTGACGCCCAGACCAATCGGTCAAATCACGAACAAATATATATATATATATATATATAAACCGCCGCGCACTTGCTAAAGCACCTTCGCTTTGATATTTATAAATGTTTTGTTGGCTGTGTTGACCTTGCAAGTTGGCTTGCATGACTTTCAGCAAAAACAATTCATTTCAAATGTAGCTCATTGAAGTAGCCAAAAAGAGTTTCAGCCAGGCACTTAGACAAAGCCGCGCAGTCCGATTTCGAGTTGGCAACCTGTTCTCTTGGCCACTTCCTGCTCTGCATGTGGGCGCAACTTGTGTTGCTTTGGCTTATTAATTTTTTTTTTTTTTCGCATGATGAATGACTGCAGCAGCTATAAATATAGCCACACACATACCACACACACACACACACACACACACATTCACATACAGCAATCAACATCATGAAATAAGCTGAGCATAACAAATGCGTCGAAATATTTGCGACAGGTTGCAACAGCAACAAAGTAACATGAACAGCACATAACACACAAAAATAACAACACAACAAAAAAGTAAATAAATAAAAAGCAAATTGTTTAAAATTATATAAAAGCACAGCGCGAAAACATCGACAAAACGTCGAGTCAGTCAATATACATGGCCTTGAAGATTTCACCGCAGCAAACAAAAAAAGCAAAAATTATAAAATAAAAGTAAAAATAAAAAAAAAAAAAATACACACAATAAGAAGGGGGAAAAAAACAATAATGAAACTAATTTGCCAAAAAACAACAACAAAATAGAAAAATGAGAATGCATAAAAAAGAGCAAAAATGATTGGCGGGACTTCTATTAAAACACCTGAAATCATTAGCTGGCAATTTGCATTGTGCCAAAGTCGTAACAAAATGCAAAAGATAAGAACAATTTGTTAAACTTTAAAGTTGTTGGCTCATAACAATTCGAAACAGCAGCCAAATGAATTTGTCAACAACATTTTCTATGACGAAAACCCTTGAATAAACCACAATTTATCAGCTACTAAATGTTTTTTTATTTACTTATTATTTCTTCTATAGCTTAGTTTTATTTTCTTATATATTTTCAAACGGGCCATCACACAGTTTGTTAGCTTGTTCGGCTAGTCACAGTTTGGCCAATTGATTAATGGTAGTCAAGAGGTTAATGGGCATTACATGCGGGCATTTAGTTGCTTGTTGTTGTTGTTGATGTTATTTTCGCTGCTGACGCTGCTACTGCACGCTAGATGGCGTGTCACGTTCATTTCTTTTGACATTTCATTTGTTATTCAATCTTTTTGACAACTGCGGCAATGTGTGTCCTTCTGTCTAGCTCTCTGCCACCTGCCACCACTGGTGCCCAGTAGCCGTCACGTATTGTGACCCATTCACAGTGTGTGTGTGTGAGTGTGTGCAACAGGCCGCTGACAGTAGTTGGTCATTATATCCATATCTATATATGTATGTCAGTAGTTTGCAAGTGCCTCTGTGCATCATGCGTTTTTTCAGCCATTAATGACCTCTCATGTAATACAACTTGTCTTTTTTTTATTGTAATTTTTTACCTGTTATGGCCGAGAATTTGTTTTCAGTCAATACTCGGTTCTAACATTTGGAATCATTATCGTTATTGGCTCTCTATCTCTCGCTCTCCTATCGATCTATCTCACTCTCCATCTCTCTTTGTAAGTGTGCATTTAAGTTTTGTTCAAACTTTGCACTGCATTTGGCCAGCGTTTCATAAACTGCACAAATTCAACGGAATTTCCCGAGCTTGGTAATTGCTATATAGACGTGGCTTTAGTCCGCTGCCGAGTTGGCTGACTGACTAGCTGACTGCTGTTTTATAACAACAGCAACAACGACAACAACAACAACCCACAACAGCAACAATATGTTCGCAAGCTTTATCATCATTACACGGAACTTTTCAGAGTTTGCTTTGGCGTCAAGCTGTCTGAGTCGAACGAACGTTGAGTGGCTTTCCACTCGCATGTATCATGTTCATATTCATTTTAGCGCACTTGCATTAAGAGCCACAACAATAGCAGCTCTAACAGACACACACACACACACATGCATGTACAAATAAATACACATTTAGTATTCACATATACATTCGATACCATAAGCCATAATTACTTTAACTACTTTTCGCTTTTCGTTTTGTCCGCTTCAACAAGATTTTTGTTAGCACTCGTTATTTGATGGCTAACTAAGTATGTAACTAAGTATTATTGGTTTATCGTCTAAATCAAAAGGCCCCCAAATGCAGCCTCCCTCGTTTCACATTCCCTTCAATTAGTGCAGCTTTCATGCTGCAAGCGGTGCATTGCGCTCGTTTATCATCTTAATAAGTAGTCAAAGTAATTGCCAAGCGACATTCAACAGCGTCTATGTGTGTGTATGTGTGTGGCGTGGGTGTGTGTGTTTTCGTTTGTCACATTGCGTGCAATTTGCACTATTAAAGGTGCAAATTATAGCCCAGTCTTGAACGCATAAAATATGCACAAAGCAAACATCGGTCGGGATATAATTATCTATAAAAAAATTATATACATGGATTATGGGCACAAACTGTTGACTAAACTTATAAACATCTCTGACTATCATGACCTTCGGCTAGTATTGCTAAACTAACCTGGATATGTGGCAAGGATTGGCAAACGGACTGGGTCAACGAGCTGTGGCATGATCATATAAAGTGGAAAATATTATTCTGTGTGTTACCAATTAGTAAAGTAAGCTTCTCAATTTTTTATCTTGAATTCTTGAATCTATTTCGCATCCAACCATTCAAATCAGGTATCTTATATATCAATTGCATATTTTTGGGCTGTATCCGTTTTACAGGGCATCTGTAGTTCTATAAATCTCTGTCATGTAATGTCATGTCAAGAGTCGAGCTGGGCATTGGTCTAAAATGTCAGCTGCGACACGTAAAAGTGATTTAAATGTTTCTTTGACAGGTCTGAAATGGGTCGCAGGTTGTTGTCGCTGGTAATTGCGTTTTGTGGTTAATTAAATGACCGAGCTGGGAAAGTTGCAGCTGAGTTGGTTAGGAATTGGTGCTTTGTGCTCGTTAAGTTTGCAAATCAGCTGGCATAAAGCAATTCACCTATGCAGTTCATTTGCTGGGCTCATCATCAGAGCTGCTTCAACAGGATATCACCACAGACACATACACATGCCAGTTTTATGCCCTCATCTATAACGAACCCAATTTCCGCCTTTTGTGCGGCCCCCTCGCAAACTGCTTGGTTTTATGGGAAAGGGGAAAAACACAGCCGGCAATTTCACAACGCTGAGTAATGCAGAACAACGTTCAGAGCCCGCTCGCCCGACTGCCGAGTTAGCCGCTCGGTCGCTGCACTCTGCTGCTTATCGCATGGCCCAAAGGCTCGCGCAATTGAACTCGAGCTGGTCGCTGGCAAATTGCTGGAAACCCAATCGACGAGTCGCAAATCAAAATGAATGGAAAGAAAGA